GCGTGTGTGACACTTTGGCTAATTGCCCACAGCCAAAAGTTTGCTCCTGGCCAGAGGCCAACGCGTTGATTTATCGAGAGGCACGGTGAGCAATCAGTGATCGTTTATACATATCATCATTCATATAGGCAAGAAAGAGAGCCAGCTTCGACGAGCCGAAGCCTATATACCCTTGCAGTCATCGCAAACGACAAGCAAAATGCGTTGTATGATATAGTCGTGCGATTTTCAAGAAACTACACTAAAAATTCCATTGCGTGTCAAACCTCCGACTGAAATCAGAATACCCTCTGCAAGGGTATACAAATTTAAGCGGTTGTATTTATAAAATTATTCGCATCGAACAAGTATAACTGCTAAATTAGCACTTAATCCACTCAATCCACAAAATAAAGTTTGCTGCCATTAATTGAGTTGCTAAAATGTATTGTGTATAAACCTATTGGTTCCTAATTGCAGTTCGAAGTATCTTTGTTGTCCGGACTATTCGATTGGACAGTTGGGTGCAATGGTGGCTTGATTTTTCATACGCCTTCTAGGGGTATACTTTTTGTTTACAAGGTTCGTGTCGGATTCTACGAAAGGCTTCGCGGATCGGCTTAGATTGGGTGGCTTGCGTTAACAATCTAAATAAATCCTTCTTTCTGACACCAGGGCTGACCTGCCTTTTAAAGAATTGGCAACCTAGGGCGATATTTTGATAGGTACTCCAAAGACATTTTTAGAAGCCCTGCTCCTGCTTTGTCGGTTCTCCACCTGCCACTGTGGTTGCTCGGACCTGGATTCCCTGTATGCGGTTATCAGGGAAAGCACCTCTGATGGCGAACAGCGGCGAAACAAATTCCACTATCAGCGTTTGACAGCCCCCCCTGAGAACCACGCCCACCCCCCGGTGGAGGCATCATTATCAGTGGGCGTAAGCGTGCGCATCATGCGACCATGAAAAGGAAATTAAATACACATATATATAATATATATTACAAAACTGACAGAAGTCAGAAGACAGAACGGATAAATATGTGCAAAATCGTACAGACTTGGGAAAAAACCGAAGGAACTATCTTAATTCTTGTTCTGTTTATATACATACATATGTGCGGGTTTAATAATCGCTGAGCAAGAGAAGAATCCATAAAAAAACCAATTAAATTAAATTTATTAAGACGGCAGCAGCGGTCATTTCTTGCCGACAGATACAGTAAACACACGGCAAACTAATTCCGCCTTAAAGTTGTTAAGCAGCACATTCCCACAAGCAAAATCGTTATTGCTTAAAATAGTAAATTAAATATTAAATGCTAAATTTAGTGATTCAATGCTTTGACTTACTTTATAAGTTGCGGGCTAATTGTTTATACTTCGAGCTTGGCATAATAACATTTTCTGCCTCAGGCAGTTCCCACTGTCTGATAGAAGCAACGCTATCACTGACCTTGCCAAAAGTTTGTTTCTGCTTTTTTCATTTCGCTTGAGCGTTTTTTATGCGCACTGCCCCGCAATCAAATTAGAAAAGCAAATACAAAATTTCCAAATTATGCAGAGCACAGAACGAATAGAAAGGTAGACCAGTGGACGGGGCGGGGGTGCGGGGAAATTGGATGAATTGGACGAAACCTACTCGGACCTCAAAGAGGACCGTAAATAAAATCAAAGGGAGACGCTTGAAAAGCGTAGAATACAATAAATCGAAAAGTGGAACAAAGAACTTCACCTTTGCGTGGCCAATCAACCTTTGAATTCGGTCAAACTTGGTTTGAAATGTACTTCCTGAAAGCGATTAGCCGACTTTTTCGGGAATCGCAGTGAATATCAGTCAACGCCTTGAATTTTATACAGGCAAAATCACTGAGAGCTTTGAATGCGATCTGAGGGTGCGTTTGAAAATATGAATGGCTTATCAAATGAGCTGACATTGCAAAGTAAACAACTTATATTTTAGTTATAATCTAAGATGCTTGCGTTTAAACTACTCAAAGTCGTAAGCTTGCTTTAAAATGCTCTTAAATGAATGAGTCTTAAAATAAATAGAACGAAACCATAATTCACCAGCTTTTATGGGTCTTAAGCGCAGAACTCAGAGGTACGAGTACTTCAGATACAGATTCTTGTGTACAGGCTGAAGTAGCCACACACACACACGTAACTTAGTTTGCCTTTCCAGAAAACACACTTCAAACAACCAAAGAAAATACCAAAAACGAAAAGATCTCCGTTCAAGGGCATTCCGACTTCAACTAGCCATAAATCCCCAGCAACCTTTCTTACTCAACGTGACGCGTTGCTTTTGTCGAACTGCGTATCTCGGAGATTTCCGTTTTGGGATCTCTGTTGCCAACCAATCGTGAGCTGAGTAATAATAGCAGCAGCGAAGATCCCAGATCAGTGATCCACGCCAATCCCGTACCCAATTAACAATCAACGTTAGCGATGAGAACAGGTAGTTCAGGAACGGTTCTGCTCGGATCTGGCCTGATCTGGCCTGATCCAAAGCCTTGGTAAGGAATCCGGCCCAATTTTTAGGCCGTCGACACGGAAGTCGGCTGGGAAATTGCCAGGAAATAGATAGGACCACCAACACAACGATCGATTTCTCTAAATAAAATGAAAAGTGTGACTTTCACTACATTTTTGGTCCGAAACTTTTGGTCATCAGTATCTGCCTATGTTTATGTATATGTATAGGTATATCTATATGTATATGCATATGCATGTGTATATGTTTATATATATATCTATATATATATATATATATATATATATATACATGTATATGTATATGTATCTGAACATCTATATCTGCGTCGGCCATGTATCTTTTGCTATAAATACCTTTCTCGCGCTATTTTAGCGTGTGTGACGGGCATCCATGTGTTTATTCAAGACGGCTTCTATTTATTTTTATACGTATATTTTAATGTTTGAATATTGTGCGATCTGGCGCAAAGCGCCGAGGTATCCATTCTATATCTATTTAATTTCGCATTTCTTATTTTTCCCCCGGCACGAAAGCTCTATTTTTGTGCCGCTTTAAGCGATAAATGAGCGTCGAAATGAAATGAAAACGAATACCCATTAAAGAAAACATCGCATTTTATTCGACCAAACGTTTAAAACAATCAAGACTGCTATTTTTAATAACAATACTGCCAAAATTTGTATTCAGTATCTCCAATAAATGTTGAGGTATATGATATTTGATGCCCAAATGCTAACGGACTTTCTAAAAAAAGTGATTTTATAAATGTATGTAAATCATATGTATGCAGAAGTCCTGTACCGCGATCTCCATATTTCAGTCCCAATCGGTTTCCCCGATTTGATCGGTCTAGAGGGGGAGTCTGTTTGTTTATTGGGCACGGTAAAATTTTAATATGAACAATCAAAATCTAGAATACGGTGAGGAAAAAAGAAGACGGGAATTGACGGAACGTGCAGAAAATAGGTCAAATCTATTTTGGGTGAGCGAAAAAAGGCGATAAAAAAATTGGGTAGCAGCAAGCGATTTCCATTTCGCCGCCAACACCTCTGTTGGCGGAAAATTTTCAGTCGTGTTGCTAGGTGATGGAAACAAAAATGTTTTAGCCATCCGAGATTTCGGCGGGAAAAGTCGAAAAATCTGTATAGAATTAATGTAAAAAAAAATGATTACGTTGTTTTTATCAAACAAGCATGATTTTTTGAATGTAAAGTTTTCTGATTATCGATTTAATTTGCCGTTTTTTGGCTCTCAATAATTTACCTTGGCCAACTAGACAAGCGTTTCAAAGGAAAAATGCAATACAAAAGTCAGTTTAAATCCAGGACGAATCTTGCAGAGCCTTTGATCTCGTTTCTGGGAATCCTTCACCGCCGTGATGGATTTTCGGCCTTTATGACCGTCGACATTTATTAACGCCAACGACAGGAAACGCTTTCTTGGTCGAATTGCACTTGTCATGCTGCCAAGAAATGTTCAAGTCCGATCCCTACAATCGGCCAGAAGTCGTGACAAATGGAAAATCCAAGGGACCCCGATCCGAAACCTAAAAAGACCTAAAAAGTGTCTCGCTTGAGTTGACAATGGAAACCGTCCGCATCATCGGACCATCAATGAACTACAAAACTCGTTGGATGTAGAGAGAATAATATAGTACCATAGTAGTTTTTACATCGATCCGCCAGCCCGCATGAATCAGCCCAGTGCAATAGTAGAATAGCGGCAATTAGGGCCTTCAGAAAAAGTAATTCAAACCCAAACAACCGCAAAGGGTCATTAAAACCGATAGCGGTGCGACTGCCCACGCTTAATAAGCAAAAAAATGCCACTGGTGTAGATGTTTGGTGGGTGGGGGTGGGCGGGGAACAAGTACGGGAAAGGTGTTCAATTAGTCAGACTCTCTACGCCAGTACAGGCGAAAACATTTTTTTAGAATTCACTTAAAAATTATTTAAAACCCAAGTCTCTGAGACGACCGCACTAAGCGAGCGTTGGAATGGGATCAATAACTTTCCTTATTTTATCTATTTTATTTTGTTAGTTTTGGTTTTAGTTTTAGTTGGTGTTCTTTTAGGGCTAAGTTGCCAAATGTTTTGTATTTGTTCACACAGCTCGAACTGTGATTTTAATGAAGCCATCTGGTAGGTTTCCTATGTATGTTGGAAAGAGATGTAGATGAACAAAATATTAGAGTTTAGAACTAAAAAGTTGCCCATCTTGATTTTTTTGTAGGTTGCGGTCGTGCGCGTTTAAATACGATAATTGTCGCTCTGTACTTACTCAGTTAGCGGTTTCACATTCGCCGGGAAAACACCTGCAGATCCGCACCCAGGGAACTTCGGACAGGTACTTCAGGGTAGGGTACTCCAAGCACCCCTGAAGTCTTTTTATGACCGGGCACACCCTTTTATCGCGATGCTCAGGACGTCGCATTTTATGGTCCTTTCCCATTCGACCCTCTGCAGATTCCCGCCGAGCGTTAGAAGGGAGTGGGAGGAGCCATTAAACGTGGTTCCTGAATCGCCGTGAGAAGCACTGCTATCGGATGGACCATCGCATGGCACCAGGTAGGCAAGGTAGGCAAGGTGGGTGTTCGGGCAACTCCTGAGTTTGGTTTTCAGTCGGTGGGATCACACCCTGCGACAGCCATGCGATCATGGCTCTTACATTGGTTTTTCAATAAGACGAAAGTACTTTCTGGCGTTCCTTCACATCCCCAGCCAAGGTACAAGTGTCAATTTGATCTGACAATATCCGAGCGGGTTACACAAAACACAAAACACAAAACACAGACCCACTTCGGGCGACCCAATCAACTCAGTTCAACTCAACACGGAAATGTTCGAGGTGCACGCCATCAGCTCCCAGTTCCGCCGGGCGGTGGGCAGGATCTTCCGCGTGGACCACGACTACGCCCAGTTCTCGATCTGGAACCTCTGCCCGATGAGCCTCTGGGGCCAGGCCAAGAGCGCCCTGCACTCCTGCGGCCTGTGCCGCCGCGAGTGGTTCCCACTCGTTTTCTGGCTGGTGGCGCCCCTCAGTCTCGCCGGGGCGCTGTTCACCTGCCACGAGCTCAGCCGGCTGTGGGCCTGCCCCAGCGCCAAGCTGACCACGTGGCGCCGCCGTCACTTCTTCGTCCTCGACTACTGGCTGCTCAGGAGGGCTCGGCTGGTGGGCTCGAGCCTCAACGCGGTCGCCTGGCTGATGCTTGTCTACGGCATCGCAACGGTGGGTACTTCACTGAGAGGACAAACCTGATTCTTTCTCGCCCACAGATCTCGCCCAGCGCCATGGCGCCCTGGATCCTGGTGACCAGCCTCGTCCTGTCCGCGGAGGGGCTTCTGTGGTCCTTCGAGGTGATCACCGGCCGCCTGCCGGTCCACCCGCAGACGCTCCTGGCGCTGCTGCTGCACGCCTTCTTCCTGGGATCCGTTTGCTGTGTGCAGAGCGTCTTCGAGGCGGCGCTGGCCGAGCACGTCGAGCACTCGCTGCGAATCATTTGAGACGGACCGCTGTCTGCTGTCTGCCGTCTGCTGTCCGCTTTCCGCTGGCCGCTGAACGGCGAACGTCGTCATTAAGTAAAGGTGCAGGACCGCCATAATTGCTTCGCGGCCTGCATTGAGCCCAATTAAGTTGGTGGCGGCACGCACTCCAGATCACCCCAATCAGTGTTAACGAAGCCCTTCTGTTCCTTGGCCTGCGGAATACCCTCTCCGGATGTCTACTCTGGTGTCCATCATATTGAAAATCAATACAGTGTTACTTTACGTTTACTTGACCGTTTCCGATCCCCGCCTTTTCGACTCCTCCCGAAGTCAGGGTACAGTATTCATTCGCCTTCGTTGCGGCTCTGTTGGCTCCGCCAGTCGGCGAGTTGCACCTGTTGCGACCCCAGTCGCATAATTAGCGGCAAGGGGAAGGAGGGGAGGTGGGAAGGGGCATTAAAAGTTTAACGAGATGGGATGGCTTGAGTCCCGTCCGTCCGGACCAGTTATGTGACATTCAAACTCTCCAACCAAGGAGCCAAAAGGTGCCAAAAGGAGCCAAAAGGAGCCAAGAGGAGCCAAAAGGAGCTGAAAGGAGAGGCAAGGAGAGGCAAGGAAAAAGTTACAGCTGCCCCTTCGATTGCATCTGTCCGCCGAAGGAGGAAATCTGCTGGGGTCCTGCCCAATTGGGTTGCAAGTCGAACTGAAACACTGGTTTTGTGTGTCGCTCTGCGCTGCACTGCTCTTTATTCAACATCCTGCAAACCTTCTCAAGGCCGTTTAATTACTCAAAACATTTGTCTTTTTTAAGCTCTTCCATCAATTTGTATTCTTTCATTACTTGAACGACTCACTTTCCCACCAATGTTCACTGTTCTATTAATTTGTTATGTACGTATTTGGCGTTTCTTGTTATATATATATATCTATATATATACGTATAATGTATAGGTATTACATAATAAATTTTATCAAATAATTGGTATTTGTTTACAATGTTTTCAAGTATATGTATGTAAAACACATATATTAAATATCTTCGAAAAAATACAAAATTCATAAAAGTTTCATATTCTCTCGTGTTTTTCTTTAGTTGAACTATTGAAGCCTGTTTAATGAGTTTTTGGCTTAAGTTTAAAGCTGTCTATACAAGCAGATTTTAGTGTTTTGGGATGTTTGCGGATTTTTAACTTAACATACAATGTACATATGTACACATTATTTGGAATTGCCTTTTGTCGTTATTTACATTTTTGTATCTATGACTATTTTGTACTTTTGATTCTGCGTTGCCTTTGCTTATGTGTACCAATTGAGGTGAGTACATGTACATATGTGTATATGAATGTGAAGGGGGTGTGGAACGACCACCATTCCAGCGAATTTACAGTTAGTAGATAAACAAGCCAGAGTTTTTAGGACCTCTCCAATAATTTGCGACTGGAATAAACCTCGTCGAATGAAGTCCCTAGAATTTTTTGTAGAAGCAAAAGTCAGAACTAGCTGCCAAAACCTACATTTGTATGTATGTACGTACGTCAAGAAAAAAAAACGATTAACAGAACCGCAGCAACAAAAATGAAAACATAAGGCAGACGCAGTCGCAGCGCAGCCGGCGTGACCTTCACCCAATAAAGCAACGTAGCGCGGTCAGAATGTAAAAAAAAATTACGTCAAATTTTTTACTTTATTTTTGCTGTTAAACAATTGTGCACGCCAATTTTGTTGTCTCTGTTTTGCTTGGCCCGTCGCCCTCATTGCCTGTGTGCGAGTTCGCCGGCAACTTATCTGTCTACCCTTTGCTTTTGGGAGTATGTCCACTTGCCGAGTAACTCTGCCCGAAACCAACTCTTGATGCAAACAGTAACTATATTATTAACACATATATGCACCATATAATCAGGAGACAAACGTAAATAGTGGTTAGTAAAAAGTGAGAGAAAACATTTAGTATTTATGTTCCTAGCGCCGATCAAAAATGATTAGTATCTTGAATGTGGAAAGACAATATCATCAGTCAATTCGAACGAAGAAGTCAATTCACAAAGTGTATTCCTTTTATCTGTTGCTTCGTTTTACAGCCTTATTCAGTTACCAAGTTAAAACTATAAAAGGCTCAACAAAAAAAGAGAAACCAAAAGATTGTGTAAAATATTATAAAGCCAAAAACCAAAACAAAAAATGAGCGTACAAATAAAATGATATTTTATTGCTATCGTGATCGCTGTTACTGTTATTGCAGTAACTGCTTCCCGGCCGGCTTTTTTGCTTCTTGCTCCCCGGCCCCCTTTAGCAGCTTTGATTTCATTAAAAATTTTTGCCGGTTAAACAACAAAACAACATTGATTGAATTAACTTAATTTGCTGGTGGGCGAGGCGGTGACAGACAAAAACAAAAGAAAAAACATTCAGCTCTTTGATAAAAATGACGACAAAGGCAATTTTCCCACAAACTATATAGGGAACCACGACAACTGCAAAATGGAAATGATAATATAAAATAAAACTATATTTCACTTCAATTTCCATTACATTCGTTTCCTAAACATAAACGCGAAAACCAAGCACCTAAAAGTCCGACTCAAAAAAACTCCCAAACTCGAAATATAAATCATAAACTTACTAAAACCATAAGGTATGGATAAAATAAAAACAAAAGTGAATTTTTTCTTGGTATGTTGAAATATTTTTATTGTATAATTCCATTATCATAAATTTTGAAAAAAAAAAAATATATTAAAACGGGTTGTTTTCATATATATACATATATATACTATATATATATATTTAATATATAAATATATAATATATATTATGATATATATTATTTATATAAGTGTGTGTGTGTGTTGTGTAATATATATTGTTTATATATGTAAAAGGTACATAAAATGTAATTTTTGTGTTTACTTTTCTTATTTTTTTCGCTTTTAGTTTGTTTTTCATTTATAAGAAACTACATAACGAATTAAAAATTATTAGATAAAATATTTTAATATGTGTTTGTGTTTAGCTTGAATCGCAAGATTTATCGATATTTTTTGCGATTTTTACAAATATTTAATAAGCAATAACCAAATTGAACTTTTTTGTCAATAATTCAAAAATAGTGTCTCAAATATAATAATAAACGTACGCCAAAAAAAAGGTTTAAATATACATATGATATTAAAATCATGTTCGTCTGTAGTTTCATTTTCATTCAGTGTGTTAACAATTTTTTTTCTTCCATTTTGATGAATTTTTCACATTTTTTTACAAATTTTTTCGGTTGTTTTTTTTTTTAAATTTGCGTTTTTTTTTAATAATTAGTGTTTAGCAACTAATTCAAATAGTAGTTTTTGTGTGTATAATATAAAAATTTCATAATCATAAAATATTATATATAACTTAAAAATTTCTTTTTTGTTATAACTGTAATCTATAAGAAAAAAGTTTCATTTTTTTTTGTTTTGTTTGCGAGGATTTTGGTTTTGGTCATAGTTGTAATATATAGTTTTGTTTGTAATAAAAAAATTATGTTTAAAAATGCTATTACTTGAATTTCTTGTTTTGTTAATAAATTATTAAAAGGACTAAACAAGGAAAAGGTTTGCTTTTCGTATTTTTGTTTTTGTAATTTGTTTTTAGTTAATTGTATCGTAAATTTGTACGGTTGTTGTTTTTATTTGATGAAACTATAGAAAAAAAACTAGATGGTTTTTTGTTAAACCTTTTCTTGTTGTATGTACTATAGGAAAATAGGTGCATTTGTGTTTCTTTAATTTGTATATTCATAGGTGTGGGTATTTTGTATATATACATATATATATATATATATGTATATATATATATGGGTGTGTGTATTGTGTGTTTGTTTGTTGGTTTATTGAAGTTTTCTTTTCTTTTCGCGTTGTACAATTCGCTTAAGTCTATTGCTTTGTGTATTCTCTCCCGGTTTTTATTTGTTTTTTTATAACAAAAATTTTAATTTTGAGTTTTCTATTTTGCAGGCGCGTGTAACTATTATTTAACGAGATTGCTATTTACAGTGTGTACACATTTTTGGTTGAAACAGTACAAAAATATACTTCTAAATTGTTTGTCCACTTAAATGAATTTTTTTTTCAATTTAACAGTTTAATGTGTATTTTAATTATTTTATAAAGAAAAAAAGTTCAGGGGTTTGCTTTCAAAAATGTTTTGCGGCGGCGTAATAAAAAAAGAATCATATAAAAATATTTCAAGGGATCATCAAACATAAGGCTAGTAATAAACAAAAAATATAAGAATTATATATATTTGGGTATATGTATTAGCCTAGAACTCACATAAAAAATGTCGTTTAAACGTCGTTCTACACTATAAAAATATACGCTTTATATATGTCTATAAACTCCCCCGTTTTTATACGATATCTGATCATATATCATCATATCTGTTTTGAATGTTTAAACCTAAATAACAGTTGAAATTTCCTTTGAATCGCGTTCGTGTTTTCTGTATATTCTCTTATGCGCTGCTTTTGACTTCATTTCATGTCCTTTATTTTAATAGTAGTTATTTAGTTGATATTTAGATGCGTGTAAACAATTGGTATAATCGTTAATCATACATAACATATTGCCGAGTAGCAATAACTTATTAGCAAAAAATCGACAGTTAAACAGCTCACAAAAGTTTGAGTTCTCTTGGTTCTTGGGTGTGTATATCTTTCTGGGTCTATCGTAACTCCAATCACAAACTTTGCAGCCAATTTCTCCACTCTTTCTCCCTCTCTCCACCTAACTAACTACACATTAGCTATTCTCGAAAGGTTTTCATTTAGGTTAAGTTTAGCACTATTAAATAGTTTAAAGTTTTCTTGATTCCGTTTTGTTGTCGTTAAGTTTTGCGCTCTTCATACGCATAGTTATCAGTTAAAAATATATGTATGTATATCTAGGTGTAACAAAAAAAAAAAAAAAATATATAATATGATTGTAAAAAGGTTCCTATATATGCACACGTATATAACTATATTCATAATCTTCATAGCAAATAAAATGTATTTCTCAGTATAGGCAGTAAAGTTCAATGTTCTTTTTTTTGGGTGTATATAAAAAGCGTTTTCACTTTTATCTTCACGTCGTCTAACAGATGTATATGTATTTATATATATATATATACATATATGGGTTATAAAGGGGAACAAGTGGGGCTCTAAGCAAAAGCATTGAAGTATGCATGCAGGTATAGTTGGGTTTCATTTCGTTCCAATGACATTTCGCATGTCAATGAACATACGCTTAGTTTTTAAGTTAGTTAGATCCATTGTGCTTCGTCAAGAAGTTTGGAACTATTTGAATCCGTCTCTTTTTGGGGGTCTTGTGCCAACCAAAAGTTCTAAACTCTATATCATATAGCTATACTAACATATCTTATCTTCGTGTTGACTTCCGATTTTGTGTGCTCTATCTCCTCTTTGTGGCTCATTCGTTGTAACTTTTGTCTGTTTTCCGTATCCGTTTTTGTTTTCACTTTTTTCTTTCTTCCTTCCTTCCTTCCTTCCTTTCTTCTTTTTCCCTTTTTTCTTTTCCTTTTTTCATCTTCTTTTCCATTTTTTTCTTTCTTCTTTCTCTCCTTTCTTCCTTCCATTATAACTTTCTCTCCTTTCTTTCTTCCATTATAACTTTCTTCCTTTCTTATTTTCATCTTCCATGGGAATGGAAGACCATTCATCCTTCCTTCCTTCCTTTAGTTTCTCTTCTACTCTTCATTTCTTAGTTCTTTCTCCTGGTTTGTGTTAAGGTTCCGTGTTTTCCTCGTCGTTTACTTCATGGTTAAGTAGCTTAAGCTTATTCAAATAATATCTATTGTATACGCTAAATCATATGTTATATACAAACACTAAGCGTTAGCTATGTTATGCCTAAGGTCCTACGTTTGTATTGTAATATGCGCAGCAAAAAATAAAACACTTCAACTTGATTCCAATAACCGCTTCCCCTAACTCCTTTAAAAAGTGAATTCGCGGGAAAAGAAAATCATATATATATCACATCAAAGAAATCAAAATGGTTAAATCACTTGTACACTACCCCCTTGAACGGTACGAAATCATGACGGCGAATGCCGAAACGTAATCTACTAACTGATACTGAAGCTCTCCACAGAAAAAAAACAGGTATAAGTATGCATGCAAGGCCTACGGTCAAGAGAGAATCGAGGGTGTGAAAAAAAGTGTTGAGGCATAAACATAAGTAAGTGTTAAATAAAAAGAGCCGGGGGTGGAGTCTGGGAGTACGCCGCCGCTTTAGGTAGATAGCACTAGCACTACTAGACGACACTATCCACTGACCGGGTGCGGCTCGCTTTTGACCATCCTGGACCTCCAGACCAGGGTCTCCTTGAGCTTCTTGAGCTTCGCGGCCAGGAGCTGGCGCTGCAGGCTCAGCTCGTGCTCCTCCTGGGTGAGCTGGGTGCACAGCTTGGCCGCCTCCCGCAGGATGTTGACCTTGGGAGCCCGCTCCTTGTCGCGGATCGTGGGGATCTGCTTCTTCAGGGCCTCGAAGAGGTTCTTCAGCCCGATACGGCGCTGCCGCTCCATGTCGTTGTGCTGGTTGCGCTTCTCGATCGTGTCGGCCTCATCCAGCCCCAGACCGAACTCCTTGCGCATAACGCCGCTGCTGCCTCCTGGTCCGGCATTCATCACTCCGCTGCGCCGCTGCCAGCTGTGCTCGAAGGGCTCCACCTCCTGGCCAGCCGACGCACTGCCCGGCGACATGCTGCCGGATGCGGAGGACGCGGAGGAGCAGCCCGCCGCCGCCTTCTTGCCGCGGCACTTCTTGCCGACCGGCGCGTTGCCAAGGTGGCTGTTGATCGGCAGAGCCATGGAGGCGGTGGCGGTGCCGGTGGCTGCCACTCCGGCGGCGCCCGGACCCTTCAAGCAGGACCGCTTGCGACCCTTCACGCCCGAGGAGCCGAAGCTCGACTGGGAGCTGGAACTGGAGCTGGAGACGGAACTCACGTTGGAGGACTCCACCGACTGCGGCGAGTAGGACGGCGATGCGGAGGCGCAGTGCTGGTGCGGCGTGCTCGAGGGCGAGGGGTAGCGCGAGTTGGCCACCGACTTCACCGGACTGCTGCTGGCCGGCGTGTACGGCAGGTTGAAGTTGGCGTAGCGCGACTTCTGCTTCATGTGGTCGACCGATATCTTGTGGGCCATCTTGGTCTGCAGGGCGCCCATCACGTGGCACGAGGGGTTCGTGGGCAGCTTCTTGTCCGTGTAGGTGACCACGTCGATTTCCTCGTCTGCAAGGAGAGCAAGAAGAGGACACTCCGGTGAGCAAAATGTATTCAATTCATGGCCCTTTCGGGCACTTGGAGGTAGTGTGGTGTTGTGTAGTATGTGCGACTTCGCTGTTTCCGCTGCCGCAGCCGCTGCCGCTGCAGCCGCAGCTTCTTCCTCTGGGCGGTTCAACGGCCGCGGCGGAAGCGCTAAATTAGCGAATCCGAAGAGAGCTCCGAAGAGCTAAGGCCGGCCTGCTGCCTTCTGCCTTCTGCCTTCTGCCTGCTGTCTGCTGTCTGCTGCCTGTCCCCAGTCGCTCTGAGTCTCCAGCTTTCGCTGTTGCCAGGCGGAATTACGGGGATGTGGGCCAAAGAGAAAAATAAGCTCGCAAATAGAGGGAGGCGGCAGGCGGCAGGCGGCAGGCGGCAGGCAGCACAGAACAGCGGCCACGCCACAGACCGGTGACGTCAACCCAAAGAGCGTCGTCTGTCTGTCGCAAGTCACTTGAAACTGGAATCCGTGCAAATCTATTGCTTCCTGAAGTCTGATACGCGGGATTCGAGCCGTACGACTATGGTCGGGAACGAAAATATATCCCAGGCGTTGACACACTAATCCGCTTTAGCTGTTTGTCTTCCCCCGCGCTTCTACGCTTACCCAAGTCATAATTCTTTGGAGCCAGGGTCATTAAACTTGCGCAAGAACAAAAACATTTGCGGGGCTTTTGCTTTCAAAGAGCGCAGCAATTGCACAGACAAAATGAATGTTCCTAGCTCTATAATTAAATGCCAAAGGGTGCTATATTTCCCCCATACCTTATTTTATTACAAATCGAACCGAATTGAACCACTGAAATACATTTGTCCACTTCGGCTTAAAGCTGTTTAGGTATTATTAAGTCAAGCCACTGTGCTAGCAATTGAGCAGGAGAAAATCCAGGGAAAAGCTAACTATGCGCTCGGCAATGAGGTGAATAGTAAGGAATCGGAGGAAAGGCAGGCTGCTGGCAAGTGCAACAAGTTGCAGTCGCAAGATCAAGTGCATGGAAAACCGGCAGAAAATAAACATTCGATAAATCCCCAACTGGAAACCGCAACGAAATCGAAACCTGCAGATACGCCTGAGTGGGCATGAGTCAGATTCTTTCAGAGAACCGCGAGATAAAACGAGAAGAGAAAAGGAGCCGAGCGGGTTCGTATTCGTGTAGCTTTTTCTGTGTTTTTTCCAACGTCATCATTCCTCTTTGGCTAGACAACCAGTAGACCACCAAGATTTTCTCTCCACTAAATGTTGGCTTGGAATGCAGTCTCTGTGACGCCCATTCTTCGCAATAAAAAAGAAGTTCCTGGCTAGACGCCAAACTCATTGGAATGCAACAAGATCTGTCAGCGGAGCTCACACGAACACTAGGAATTTCCAAAGATGGCAAAGATGGCTTGGCATCCGAATGGAAATCTTAAAGAACTACTGTTAGAACTTGTTAGGAGCTAACGAATTTTGTGTTTCAACTGCTGTAAGAACGAATTAAGGCCAATTTCAGCAACTCAATAAGAATAAAACTACTGTGTGTGTTTGAGACATCTGAAACACGAACCAAGAGCCCAAACTTCCAAAAACCAGCTCACGACATCGACCGGACATCAATAAATGCACAATGTCAGAAAACAACTGTCGAGCCAGATTTCCAGCGAATAGCTTATTTATTTATTTATTTAAATAAGGGAAGGAATTTTTCACAACTGGGGACTCACCCCGCCACGACGGATAGACAATGAATGGAATGGAATGGAATGGATGGTAATTAGAATAGCAACGTAACGAAATTGCAAACTCCCCGTTCGCCCCTCGCTCGTTTTCCTTTTCCACTTCCATTCAACTGCATCTGCGGCACCGGCAAAACTGCATTCATTCAATTCAGATGTTAAGATACACTAACAAAATAAAGACTTGGGTTGTGCCGGGAGCTTTTGCTCGGTTGTACTAACGGTTATTCCGCACAAATCGGATGCTGTCCTCATACATATACATATATATCTCCGATGTATTGTATCTCTCTCTCGCGCTGAACCCAAAAACCAGACAAACTCGTTTGCTGCATTAAAATACAAGAAACCGGGTGGAAGAAGCAGACAAGCCAAACAAAGCAACTTTTATTTTTTATTTATTCGAGACGGCAATAGCAACTTTTGTTGCTAAGCGAACGAACGAAGCCAAGATCAAATCGTCACAATAAAGCAAAAATGCCGAGAACACCGAGTCCATAAGGCTGGCAAAAGGGAATACCCTGGAATCCACCAAGTTGGCTAAAAGGATTCAACGAAAACAGTTTCGCTTTCAGGTTGATTTTATGACATCTTATTGACGGCTTTGGAAGCTGCAGCCTTGGAACCGCGATACCACAAGCTAGCGGGGCCCTAACCGGGGGTTAGTTTTCATAGAACCCATACCTTGGCTTCTCTCCAGGGTGTCAAAGCGGCCAGAGAGGAAGCTGCAGTCGCTTAAATTGCAAATAAATGCACACAAGTCGCCGAATGTTGCGCAACTTTTGCGCATGAAAAAGGGAGAGGCCGTGGGTTGGGTTTTTCTGCCTAGCACACATACACACATACATGCCCACACTCTGGGCCTGGATGGATCTGAACACATATAGACGGCTTTTGCCCTATAAAATTAGCATAGGGACGGGGTTTCGGCGAGATGCGGACAGACAGCCCAAAGAGTAGACCCAAAAACAGAGGGCTTTAAAGGGGACAAGTGCATCGTCAATACGTATAAAGGCGCCCAGTACAGAAATGCAGCGAAAGAGATGCCTCAGATGACAATATATCTGAAGAAGCGAGGGTTAAAATCCCCATAGGTTTGGGCTGGGTCGCTGGACAACTGGAACTTGAAATAAAACCGAAGCCCAATCCAATACTGAAATGGAAAAGGGAAATGATGTAATACAGAGAAGAATTTTAAAGAGCCTATAAAAATATAAGAAGGCAACGCCAGTGATAACTGGCCAATTATATACAGTGGGATAATTTAAGACCACTTGGCGATAGAACGTTCCGAGAATTACTCATACGACAAAGTGACACATTACACCCAATTTGGACTTCGGACTTGGGGCATGGGTATTAGATATTATTTAAACCTAATAACTGTCGTTATTTTTTTCTCAGTCATTAACACGCTTGATAGTTTCAGCTACACAAACTTGTGCGACAATGAGTGCGACTACTTTCGACCACTGTGCCAAGTCGTAAAATGAAAAAAATTAAAAGAACAGCCGGAGACGACTGCCGCTGCCCTTCTAAATTTGTTTAATAACAAACGCTGTTGTTTATTTTTCTCCGCATCCGCGGACAAGTAAATTAATATTTAGAAGAAAGTTTACGGGGAGGGATTGGAATGCATGTGTTTATCATCGAAGTGATTTCATACATTTTCGCGCTAATTCAAATTTATAATTCTAGGGAAAAAGCTAACGGGGGGTGGGTTTTTCCCCCCAATCATCGTGCAGTGCAATAAAGAAAACAAAGAATGCCCGTGGGCATGGATTCAAGCAGATTCCCACGCCCCACCAGTCCATTTTAGCGTTAGCATTTCGCATGAAAATCAAAAAGGTTGCAACGGCAACACATGTTTCACTTTTGCCAAAGGTTATGCAGCAACAACTGCAGCAGAAATTGCAGCCACAACAGAAACATCTGTTGGCAACATGTCGCTCAACCGCAACTGCTACACCAACGGCCAGCGATATAGGTCACATGAACAGCGCGCTGAGTAAACGAATATGTACAGATTTCCATCCTTTTAAAACTACTACATTACCGATTAAAGTAAGACACGCCATTTAACCACCACTGTTTTCCTTATATTAGCAAAAACAAAAAATTAAAAAGAAAACAGTGGTTCCGAAACGCTAACATTTTCCCACGCATATTTCCTGCTCACTTCCCTCCTTTTTAGCCACCGCCTATTCAGTTTTCTCGATTTTTTCTTTACTCTGACGCAATGGGAATTTCATCATCAGAGGAAAAGCAGGATGTGAGTCATCAAGTTAAGCCTTTTCCGATGGAAACCCCAAGCCCCCCTCCGAGTGTGCGCCAATAATGACTAACGTTGCACTGCTGCCGCAATGCGACACCCCACCCCACACATGGCCGTGTGCATACATACACAGATGCATAATATTGGCGAGCGAGCGTCGATAATGTTCTAATGGCACATAAATTACTAAAATGCGTCTGGCAAAATTTTGCTCGAGCTTTAGAAATATTCTTGGGCGTGGATACATCTTTTCGATGTATAGACATTCATATGTATGTACGCTTTTACATATGTATGTAGAGTAAGTCTCTCATAAACGCAGAAAGGGAGGCTCGCTTAAGAAAGAACAAAGATAAATAAATAAAGCTGTCCCCAGTGCGTGAGTGCGAGAGGGGAAAAAGCTCCGCTCTTGTAAGCTTTTGGTTTTTTATTTTTTATTATAGCGACGACGCCGCTTATGCGACCTTGGGCATAACAATTTATTGCTACACGTGTGCGAATAAAACAACAACAAGCCAACTACGACGCAATTCTCACATCGAACAGAGACGGCACTACCCGAACAGATAAGCATGGGGAGAGAGACGCCTAGCAACAGTGCGAAGAAACCGGCAAAATACAGAATGAAAAAGTGCCAAAAACTCTGGCCTAGACCAAAAAAATGTTGCGGCCCATTGTTGGGAGCGAGTTTTAATCTTTTTACAAGCGGAATCTTTTTGGTTTTTTGTTCTTATTTTAAATTCTGAAAATTCAATTATATCTGCTAATGATTTGGCATAATCGTCATATGGACCAATCAAATAAATAATAACTCTTTGGTTTGCTACACATGTTTTATCAACGGTTGCTTAATATTTACATTTAAGACATATAGGCTCTAATTCATTATGTTGGCGGAGATCACTTGTTTGTATCGTCACTTTCGACTGTATTCACTGGTTGATTTTTCTCTTTTTCTAATCCCATAAATAAAGGCCGCAGAAATCGAAAGCGAAAAGAAGCTTGAAAGAACTTTTTTTTCAACAATTTGGAAGTTTGTCCGTCCGTGGAAGACAAATTCGGTTGCTGGCAGTTCCCCTAGTTTGCCCCCAACCATTTCGGTTTCTACGCACTTTTTCCAGCGGCTGGCTGACCTTGGTTCAGTTCATTAACATTTTCCAAGCCTGCACACACAATCGCAAGGTGCGAAATGCCAAAAACCAACACGCACTACCAAAAAGTAAATATACACACACGCTTGTACATACCAAAGGCGCCAACATAGGCATGTGGCGTCTAGTGTCTCGCTCACACCCCCCTAGACCTTATCTATTTGCCGAAATTTGTGCGTTGTTGCCAACCAACCCTCTCGCTCACACGTGACACGCCCCGTCTCGCTTGCTCCCCCGCGGAAGCTTTTATACTTATTAGAAGACTGCAGCATAGCGATAAAGCAACAAAAAAAATATATTGATACAAGTGCGTGTCGTTGTTGGAGCCATCTCCCTCTTGCAGGCGTCACAAGGTGTGAGTGGGAGCGTGATGGGGCTACTTATTTGCTAATCTGCGGCACGCACCTGATTTCTTTTCCGTTTCTTCTGGCATTTCTATTTCTATCTTTTTTTCAAGGAGAAATATGAAAAAAATAAATAATCTCGAACCACTTGTGTCAAGTTTTAAGTTGCTAAATTAGCAGTGGAAAAATTGTGATGTGATTTGGGGGTGGATGACTTTGCTCGCAAACGGAGACGATGACATGCCATAAGTTTTTTGACTTGATTTAGGGCTTAACTTGGAAGTTAACAATTGATTTGGCTGTACAACTTTTGATGACTTGTTGCTAAAATTATGCACTCGTGAGCATCAGTTGCTTCAAATAAACATGTAGCTACTTTAAATTTATCTTCTTTCTAATCAATCGTCAATCGTCAGAAGGGGGCATGTTCTTCTCCACATTTTCGAAACTTTTTACCCATTTCTCCTACATTTTTATCCAGTTTTTGTTAGAGTGTTTTTCGCATCGAGCGAACATAAATAAATAAGCATGTGGAACGCTTGGCAACAAGACATAGCACGAAATAAAACAAAGCACCCAAAGACGCAAAAGCGAAAAGAGCCAACACCCCAAAACCAAACCAATAACCAAAACAAACGTGAAAAATCGTTGTTGCTGCAATTTCTTGGTTTAACTGCACTCGGCAAATTGCAAGAGAGAAAAAGAGCGAGAGGCGCCGTCACAACAAGTTATTGCCTTTCTTTGGGGTCTGGCTGGCTTTGCAAGCAGTTTTTGTGTGTTTTAAATGATTAACAATTTTCCAATACTCCAAACATATTTTTTTTAGTTATTATTACTTTGTGTTTCACCTTAGTTTTGAACCCGGTTTATGGTTTCTGTATTTTAATGAGTGGCAAAAGCTTCTCTCACACGAGCCCCATAAAGTAGTAGTAACAGCTAAATAGAATGCACTCGTAGTTTTGCACTGGTAGTGGAATGGAAGTTGTAGCGTAGCGTAGACGTTGAAATTGAGATGATTGGCGTGACGTAAGCCTTTGCCTTTGCGAGGGTTACTCAATGAATAACGATTTGCGCGCCAAAAAGACCTCGGCCGCAAGCCAGGGGAGCGAGAAAGGGCGGAAATCGACTAAATAAATACCATAGACAAATTGTTCAAATTCCAATACATAAATACCTATTAAATATTACCAAAAGTGGTGGCCTGAACAGCCAAAAACACCAGACACAGAATATTGCTGGCACATAAGGGTGTGAAAAATGCCGGCAAGGAGGAAGAAAATTTAGGGGACGTCTGCCACGTGGCCAGAGACCAGAGACCAGAGACCAGACATCCTTGAGGAAAAGTACGCACAACAACAACAAACCGGACCGGACCGGCAAGAAGAAGCAAAGAAAATCGGGGTGTTGGCCAAAAGAGAGAGATTTCGAAATGTATGTGCATATATAGGAATAATTTTGTATAAATACGTAGATGCGGTGCGATTTGTTATGGGCGTAGTTCTGCGCAAGAAAGTCATCATCATCCCCCGGCTTCGGAAAAGAGAGAGGATGACGCCATGGGGCAGGGCCAATGAACACAATGAGCCATGAAAGCCACGCGCCAACATTTTCCCTGTTGTGGATGGAAAAAATCATCAAGAAAAGCCCCACCGAAAAGCACAAAAATCGATGGAAAAAGCACCGCGGACAGACGGCCAGGTCGCGTGGGCGTGAGTGTTTGGGTGTGTGTGTGCTAGCAAACGTAATACGTTTACTACGTTTGCTGTTGACGTAGGCGTTTTCCGCAGATCGATTTTCCGGTAGCATCTAGTGTACGTTGTACTCGTGTTCAGACGTATCTGCACCCACACGAATCGGAAGTGCGAACACTAGTTGAATGTGCAACGAAAGGGTAGGTGGTGGGAACTAACCGCCGCCCACGAGGTATCCTACTGCTGGCGGTGCTGTCTTGTCTTATACCAGAAATCTGCTAGTTTCTGATGGACAACGCAACAACACCCAATCACATATGGCATTTCAAAAGACTTACCGGAATCGGAGGGGGTCTCGAGATTGGGTCCGTCGTCGTTGCACCGTGTGTAGCTATGGTCGCTGATGTGCAGCATGTGCAGCATGCTGGTGCTGCTGCCGGCGCCGCTGCTGTGGGTGCCTTTGCTGCTGCGGTGGAGCCGCAATCCGTAGCTGGGCACCTCGCCCTCGTCGGAGTCGCTGTCTGAGCCGGTCGTCGGCGGAGAGCCCACCGTGCTGCTGCCGGTGGCCATGTGGATGGCCTGGTGCTGCTCATCGATGGCCTGGCCGCCCTGCGGCTGCTGGCCCGCGTTGGCCTGCTGGTTGAGCACGTCGAGCACGTCGTTGATCGGCGGAATGGGGAAGCGCACGGTGAACTGGTCCTTGCCAGCGCTCTGCAGGTCCCTGCTGATCTGGTTGATGCAGCTGACATCGCCGTCGTCGCTGCTTAGCGAAATGTTGTTGCTGCCCATCACGCAGGCGCGAAGGTCCACGTTGTGCCGGAACTCGGAGGCTACCACCTCGTCGGCGAGACTGAGGGGTGTGTCGGGCCTGAGGTACTTGCGGTTGGGCATCACCCCGAGGTTGCGCTTGCGCAGCAGGCTGCCTCCGGGCGGGATCAGCTGGTCCTCGTCCTGCGGCGGCGCCTTTTTGTCGCCTCCGCTCAGGCGCCTGCGCTTCTGGCCGACCGTGTAGTCCTGGTCGAGCAGCTCTTTCTTGATAATCACCGGCATGTCCTCAGAGCTCCCCAGCTGCGCCTGCTGGATGTTGTGGCCGTCGGCGACCTGGGACCGCTGGTACGGCGAGTAGGGGTTCGCGGCGCCCGACACCACGGCCAGGGGAATGGCGCTGGTCTCGCTGTATGAGGAGGCCGCACTGTTGCCCCCACTGCCCGCCACATTGCCGAGGCCGCTCAGGCAGTTCGCCATCGCCGGCCACATGCAGTCGCTGTGGCGCAGCTCCGACTTCATGTCCCCCTCGATGCCGAAGACCTGAAGGTCCCTGTCCACGTCCCTGATCCTTTCAAGGTCGCTTTTGATGGTGGCCGGCGGATGAGTAACGTCGATGTCGTACAGATCATTCCCCAAATCGAAGGGAAAGTCAAACATTTCCATCTCTGCGTGGTAGTCAAACTGCAGTGACATTTTGTCTGTGTCTGGTTTCTTTAGCTTATATGTAGATCCTAGTTCCTGAGTTATGGGGCTGTCTGAAAAACAAGGAAGGCGGAAAACTTCGTTGTAGTTTCATTCATCAAAACTTTTATATATATATTTAACCAGAATTAAATGAAATAATTGAGATGCTCTTTTAGTTGAAATTACTTTTATTTAATTCCAGAACTAAGTCAAAACTACATATGTATGTACAAAAAAAACTAATAAGTAATAAAATCATAGCAAATTGTCTAACCCACATTTAAGTGTCAGGTTTAAAATCATTTATTTTGTTTCGTTTTATTTCCCACCAACGTCAGCCGCCGTCGAGGGTGCGGCAAATGTTATCATTTAGACACTATTAACGGTGCCCATTTGACCCCCAAAATCGCGATACTCCGTGCTCCTAACAACAGCTTAGCAAAAAATAATACTCATATTCCACGTATGTAATATGCCTGGCCTTCAACTGATAAACGCTGATCACTAAGCAAAAACGGCGGTAGAAAACGGAACAAATAGTAAGTTACCGTTGTTTTTTATTTTTTTCTTTTTGTTTTCTTTGAAATCCGTTGCAATTTGAACGAAACAAATATAATACGGGCGAATGACAAAAAAAAAACGGTTAAACCCTTGCACATCAGTGAAAAAGTTAACAGTTTTATGTTTGCCTTCGTTCTGTTCTCTCTTTAATTTAATCAAACTGGAAAATATTTTCGAAATGTTGATGTTTACCATAAGATTTTTCTACACAAAAAGTTAATTTTGTCGAGCATAAAAAGTACTTTATTCCTATTACCAATAATTTTGTTTTCTTTTTTCAATAGCTTTGCGGTTTTTATTACAAGTAAGGATATTAGTGAATTGCTTATCAATTTCCAGATTTTTATTATATTTATTTCTATTATTGTTTTTACTATTTTTTTTTTAATTGTTATTTGTTTTTTGCTTTGGGCAGTTTTGTAATTCATTTTTTTTGGTACGGTTGTTAAAGTTTTTTCCTTTTTTATACATATATTTCTATTGTGCCGCAGAAATTCTATAAAAGTTCTATCTTTTTGGAATTGCGGCGATTTCTTCTTCTATTCTATTCATCTTTGCCACTCACCTCTGCGAACAGCCGTTTTCTTCGATTGCTGTGTATTCGTCTATTCAATTGTAATCCAATTTGGTTAGGTTTCCGATCGACTATATCTATTTCTATCCCGTTTCCGCCGTCTCACAAGTGTTGTTGCGCACTTTCTCCGTCAAATGGGAAATACGGGGAAAAAACACCAAAAAAAGGGACACAAAAAAAAATTCTTCCCGTTTATTTTGCACTGGCTGTTTTTGTATTAGTAGTTTTCACAAGTTTTTTCCTTTTCGAAGACTATATATATTTGCGCGGTTTTTTTTATGGGTCTTCGGGTATTTCTGCGACTGAATCACTATTATAACTTGTATGTGACATTTTCTTTTTTGTGTATGGTGTATTTTAGTAAATTGGTTTTGGGTTTGGTTTGGTTTTTGCGGATTAGCCTATGGTATAACTTTTATTGTCGTCGGGCGGAAAACAGCCAAAAATTCAATCCACAAAGCGAAGAGCGAGGGAAGAGCACGCGATCCGCGTTCCGCAACACAAATAGTTGGTTTTCCTGAGACGACCACTGCTTAAATCCGTTCCCGGCCGCTCAGACTGAGGCTCTCCCGCGTTGCGTTGCGCGCCGCGCACTCTCTCGCTCTCGTCCACTCGTTCTCTCGCGCCAGCGGAGTGGTTTTTAAAGCTTTTGGAGCCCAAATCATTGCATTTTGCAACGTAATTCAGCAGTTCCACAAGGTTCTTCGCGGCATTTGACTATTTCATCACGACTGCTTACACTCTTTGGGGTATAAAGGAGGGAAAGTGTAGTTAACTGGCTCCCTCTCTCTCCCCCACTCCCCCACCCCGCCACTCTCTCATGCCGGCATCTTTCGACCGCTCGATAGCTCTCTCACGCTCTTTTTTGAGTGCTTCACTTCACATGCCGGCTTTGCCGGTGAGTAGAAGAGAGCCCAAAAAGATAATACTTGAGTGTTTACAAAACATCCACAGGTTAGAGGGAGAAAAAACAATTGAATGCGCGGAAACCTGGCGACATCCAAAATTGTACATTTGTACAATTTTCATTACTTAGCAAATAATAAGCACAAAGTATGGATCAATATTCAAACTGAGCAGAAAGCAAACAAAAGTAGGAAAGCTTAGCCAAAAAATGTTTCAATTAACCTAGTAAAAGTCTGTGTAGACTATTTACACTTACTCAAAGTCGCCTAAATTTAAAATTCCTTTGGTAGCAGGATTTTGGTCCGATTTTCCAAGTTATCTTTAAACAAATTCAAACCAATTTAAAACGGTTTTATAGGACTTTTATTAAGTAAAGGGGCAGAAAAACAGTTTTGACAGTTTTCATATAGCATTTGAAAACTGTAAGCATCGTCAAGTACTTTCGTCAGCTACTTTTACAGAAGTTTGGCTGTTCACCTAATATATGTTTTTTGTAAGGTTATTTTCAATTTATTCTCAATTCGATGGTTTACTATGCACTATTATTATTTCTTTAACTTATACTCATAATTTTTCCGACTTTTAACTTTTTTGTACTGATTATTCTTTTCGCAACAGTCCGCTTTTTTATTTACTTTATCTGCCCATGTTCTTAGTGTGCGTGGTTGTAATTTAAGCTTTTTGTCACTCATTGTCTTCGTACATATGTATGTGCATACATACATATGTACGTCTCTCGTTGTATCTCCACCTATACTGCGCTGTCTCCTTCGTTCTTCAGGTGGCAGCTCCAATTTAGTTACTTTTCTGTCAAGTTGATTGAACCTGTGAACTTTGCGGCAAACAGAAATTAAAGCGAAAGTACCAATAAAACTAAGGAAAATCCGCTTAACAGAAACAAAACAACAACGTATGTATGTATGTAAGCTTTTTTTCGAGTTAGTGTTGTATGTATGGAAGTGTGTGTTGAACCTACCTCAAGTGTAATTAAATTATGTCAAACAAATTTTAAAAAGGATTAATACTTTAAATAAATAGGTAAAACAAAATAGTGACATTGATTAATTAAATAATGTCTAGATTAAGATTCAATTATATTTTAATCTGAGCAACCATGGATATACATAAATATGTACATATTCCATATGTCCAACGTCAACAAAATTTTTCCAAAAGCAGAATTTGGCGCCATTTTCCGCCGATTAAATCATCAGGTGGTTGCAACGCAAAGTTCTTACCTTTTTCGTCACCCCTCTGATTTCGTTACGTTTTGATTTGATTTCCATTTCCACAACTCTTCCCCATATTCTGCTTCCCCCCATTTTCACTGCACTTTTTGGCGCGTGCATTCCCTCTCTCATTCGCACCCTTTCACGCTTTAGATTTTGTTTTGGTTTCGCAACACGGCGACACAGCAATAAAGTTATTTTGTTAAAGTGTAACCTGGCCAATAAATACTCTGCAAAATAGAAATTTCAACATTTGCTTTAACTGTTTCCAATTGAAATTGTTTTAAAACTGAAGAAAATGGGTTATATAAATTAAGCGGAAGAAAGTTAAAAAAATTGCATAATGGTGTTAAGGAACAATCGTGTTTAATTTTGATGAACAAGATATGTACATATGCATAGGAGTAGGGTATTCTTGTTAATTCCAAATGCATAGACAGAAATCGGCGAATATTTTGTGAGCTTTTAGTATGACTGTAAGTATATACATATATACATACTTGCATTTGCCTTCTGACAAAGTTCTATTTCAACAAATTTTGAAACATTTTGGTGGTTCGATTTTAGCGCAATTGATTTTTGGCGTGATGTTTTTTTTTTTGTGGATTTATTTTTTTTTACTTCTTTTTCGTTGGAGACAAAATGGCAAGTGCTCAAGAGAAGACAAAACAACTGCGTAAATAATGGCACCAAGTTGGTGCCGAGTTTTCATACCAAGTTTGTCAAGAACTGGCCGAGCTTTAAAGTAACGTAACATTCTTCTCGCTTTCATAATACCCATAAAAAATTTCTCGAGATGAGCAATTGATAAGTTGAAAAATGTTACCGATGTCCACCGATTGTTTCTATGACAGCTATATGATGTACATATATAGTCATCCGCTTTCCTTGAAATTTATTTTGAAACTTCTTAAAGCTATCTTGCCGAAATTTCAAATAAGTTGGAACGGGCCGGATTGGTCGACTATATTGCTCCTAAAGGAGAGAATGAAAAAAATTCTCATGCCGTTGATTTTTATCATATCGACTTGATTTCTTCCAGATGGTGTTTTCTAAGTACTTTGGAATTTTGAATTATATTTTATCAAAATCGGAAAAATCAAGGAAAGATCGAAAAATATACATATATAAAATTAACGAAAATAAAATGATAACATCATTGGTTTTCATCAGACAATTTTTGGAATTTAGACTTTTATAAAGACTCTTAAATTTTGAATTAAATTTTTATAATATAATTTCATATGAACAATACTCGAAAATATGGAAAAATTAATAGAAAAATCGTCATAGCTTCGATGTTGTTTAGCCTTTATGTATTTTGTTTGACATATCTGATGTCTGCAAGGGTATATAAGCTTCGGCTTTCCGAAGCTAGCTTCCTTTTTTGTTTTTTATTATTCTTTTTTAGTTTATAACGAATACTATTCAATGTCTTTTGTCGTTAAACTTGATATTGAACGGTCTACACGTGCAGCCACAATGTAACTTTAACGCCGTTTTTGCAAGGTGTTTCTGGCGTAATTGTAATAGCAATCTGCGATAGCTTCGGACACCGAAGTTTGCTCCCGGTGGGCCAGAAACTACCGTCTCCCATTGATAACGTCAGCAATCGTAAATTGCGCTGCGCATTAGCTTTCCCTTAACAACAATGTCGCTATCGCTTTTAGAGTAAAATATTTAATATTTCTCTATCGAAATATTTAAGTTAAGTTTCATTTTTCAAATAGTATGGCAAAAACGGAATTTAACGGCATTATTAACGGTTAATTACAATATGCTTTGTTTTTAAAGACTGTACATATGTACATATGTATGTACATAACGTCGTTTTGGCGCCACTTTAATTATAGACGCATTCGTATCAGGAGATAACGCGTATTAAAACCTTTAATAATAAAATATTTGAGAAGCTAAATTCTAGAATATTTTGACATATGTACATATGTATGTACATATATTCATATGTATGGGTTTACAATACATGGGCATACAAAAATTTAAATGTTCAAGGAAAGAATATGAACGTATGCATGTATGTACATACATAGTTGCATTTGTTAAAATTGAAGAGAGCCAAAAGTTCAGACTCTCTGTATGCGTACAAACATGTATATGTATATACATACATATGTATGTATGTATTTGCAAAAGATTTTTTTAAATTCCAAAGTGGAATGGGTTAGGGTGATGTCTTTAATGGAAATTAATAGTAGTATAAAGTTTTGCGATTAAATCTTATTACATATTTACATACATATGTATATAGCCTTAATTTTACATTTTTTTGTTCCGTTTTTTTCTTTGCATTTTGGTTTTTAAACATTTAACATGTGACTTAACGATTTACAAAGGATATTTGCAAAAAGGTGTCAGCAGACAACAAAAAAATAAATGAATCGAGATGTAGAATGCGAGAAGATGAAGAAGAGAAAAACGGCAGCTGCAAAAACAAAAAAAGCTCATACACGATAAGCAGAAGAGAAAGAGAGTCCGAGTTGGAAGACGCCGGTACAGTTACGCTCACACACACACTTATGTAAACATAAAAAAAAATGGCAAAGAGCGTACAAAAAAATGCAGCGTGGCGTTTTTATAACGGAACAGAAAAAAAATAAATAAAAAGCAAAACAGACGCTGCACTCAAAACAAAAAAAGAGGAGTGAGTGAGAACGCAAGCCAAAAATTCCAATTTTAAAGGGTGAAAAGAGATAGAAAGATTAGCAGAGAGAAAGAGCGAAAAAGAAGACAGAGAAAGAGCGGAATTGTGGGTTTGCGTTTGCTTTGAGTTTTTGTGTTTTGTTGCAGCAACATTGTTGCAAAGCCAAATTTTATTGCAGCAACATTGTTGCAAAGACAGAAATTCAACGTTTGAATTGTAAATGTTTAAGAAAAGATCTAGAAACAATATAAACTTACATATGTATATATACATATATTTTAACATTTTGTGAGCAAATGTTAAGCTTATATAATATAAGGCTGTACGTTCGGGCTCGACTTCGAATCACATTATAATATTCAGGATCCGCGCCATTTGCGGTTATCTGCATACTGGCGCAAATTTCCATAAGGCTATTTTAGCATGGAGGTATGTACGTATGAATGTATATATGCATGTACAATTACGTATGTATGTATATACAAATGTGCATATGTGTATATACATATGGTTACATGCCTGTCATATATACAAAGGGGGCGCATAGGGGGTGTGGCGTGGAGTGGTGTCTGCGACCTTCAAAAAGCAAATGGAACCCAGGCGAAAAGCAAAACAAACTTGCCAGACGGACGAAAGGACGTTCAACCGCAAAGTCGGATGTGGGTGGGTCAGGAAAAAGGGGCAGACATTTCCACATCCTCTTCTCCTCAAACATGTTCTGTTTAAGAAGAAAACCTG